GAAGCATTCCTGAGTAAAAAACCTTCGGCAGCATTGTCACTACCATTTTTCATCCGCATTGCTATATTCAGAGACACTATAATTAAATACTCTCTGCTATATTAAATAAATTGTCTTGAGAGATGTAGACTCTACTGGTTCTTCCTGTTCACACAAGTCTCGTTACTGTGTTAGATTTACTTTGGTGCATTGTGATGACATTTTTGGTTACCATAAGGCATTCTCAGATCTCCTTTACCCGAGGAGTAGACTCACTTTTTTCACATTAGGGATGGTTAGCCATAGTCATGCTTTTTATGTCCGACTGTGTATTAATGTATATTATACCGATTAGCATTTTTATTGCCCGTGTACTTATTTATGATGGTAACGGTTGATTCTTGGCACTGTATCGGTATGTCGAGAAGTGCGCTATCTTCTGTTTTTGTGTGTGTGTTTTTTGTGTGTTTTTTTTGTTTTGTTGTAAAGGATTATTTGTTTGGGTTTTTTTTCGGGTTTTTTTTTCAAATTTTCCTCGGTCTTGTATTTGTTTGTCTTATCTATCTTCAAATATTGTGATGCTCATTGAAAATATTATCGAGACAAAAATAGGAAATTTAAATGCAATTCAATACTATTGCTTGGTAATGTTGGCCTGAAGGGTGTGGAAAGTTTATAGGGCTATATTTCCAACATTTGGCCATCTACCAATGGTAAAGAGACGAAAGCCAAAGGCAGAACTACAATTGCAAGGCTATTCTCATTCCAATTACAAACGGCAGCGTTTTTCTTATTATCATTAAAATATTCACTATTTCAAGTTCATTTTTATTCTTCTTCATTACCCTTGTAACTGCCCAGTCCTTCTCCGATATGCAGATGTATATCATGTAGTTAACGGGTGGGACGGAAGTAAAAAGATTGTCCTAAGTGGCATGAAATGAGAGGACTGGGAATGGGTGAGTGTGGGTCTTTTTTTAAATTTTTCTTTGTTTGTCGTTAGTTGTTTTCTTTCTGTTTTCTTTTCCTTCTGTTTCTTTTTAAATTATTAGCGAAACAAAAGGTCAGAGATTGTAAGGTTGAACACAAAGTAAACACGTACTTATTCATGGGGGAAAATATAAGTAAAAATGTACTTGGCTGTTTTAATTTAAATCAGCTATCGACATAAGTAATTTACATGTAAAAACAAGCCAAAAGCAAAAATAAGTGTCCTTACCTCATCTGATCTACAGTCTAAGCCAAAACTATAAATTTACTCCATTTAAAATGTTATTATGACATTGTCTACAAAAATATTTCACAGGCTGTGGTAGCTTTCCTTTTCAGTCATGCTACCATTTGAATGCGTATGTCATAAAAACTTTTTTAAAGTTTTAATCGTCTACACCCTTGAGTTTTAAATGCCACACTAGAGCACACTAGATTTACTTCATCACTAGTCTCCCCAGCACCTTTTTTCCTTCCTTTTCCCCACTGAAATGTCGATTCTGGGTACTATGATAATTACACTGACGTTACAACAAAACCTCCCGCTTTCAAATTATAAATCAAGCACACACATAAAAAAAATATAACTCTCTTTCTCTCTCTCTCTCTCTCTCTCTGTCTCTCTCTCTCTCTCTCTCTCTCTCTCTCACACACACACACACACACACACACACACACACACACACACATACACACACACGCACGTAGGCCCCGTGTATACGC